GATAAGAACCCAGTTACCCTGGGTCCCGGGTGGCAGAGGCGGATGGGGAGAAAGTGGCCGTCTTTCTCCTCCCCGCTCCACATAAGTCACCTGTGGGTTCCACCAGGGGTGTTAGCAGCCACCAGGGACTAAAAGAAGTCAGAAACAGACATTCCCCCAATCTCTAGACACAGTGTGTGTGGCCCTGTGGAGAGTCTACAATTTTATCTTCGTGAAATGGGTTTTGAGTATCTGATTTCCAGAACCAAGAATAGATACATCTCTGGGCTACCAGCTTGGACATCGTTCCTGATGGGAGGCAAGGAAATGAGAGATTAGGTGCGCACTCAGGAAACAGAGGCAACAAGGGCAGCTCCGTGCAGGTGTCACACTTAACCTTCCAAGAAGATGCGGGTGTGGGTATCCCGTATGCTTCTCAAAGGGCTGCACAGGTCTGCAACTGCCTTCATCTTTTCAGTCAACTTTTAGCCTTCACACGCACACCATAATGACTGAGATGGAGACAATGGAACCTAGGCACTATCACTTTTTAAAAAATGTAGCTAGTGTTGAAGAGTACCTCAACCAAGTTCTTAAGAGACAGTGATTGTCCTCATAAGAATCCTCCTCCCCACCCTCCCACCCCCAAGCTTGAAGGTATAAATGGCTTCAGTTTGCAAAGTGTAGTTGACTCTTGAATGATTGGGGTTAAACAATTCTGGTATCCCCTGTCTGACACCAGAGATGTCCCAAAACACAGAGGTTCCAAGTCCTCGGAGTAGCACCCTATTGACAGAGGGTCAGCATTCACAACTTCAACTGCACCCTGTATTCTACTGAATCCACACAGAAATCTGTTTACTGGTTGACACAAAATATGTGACAGCAACTTTTTATGTTGTTAGTAAGGCACTGGGTCAACAGCTATTACGTAGTTAAGTTTGAAGGGAGAAAAAAACTTGTGCAAGAATTTTCAGGAGCTGGGCCTGGAGCAACAGCACAGAGGGTAGGGCCTTGCACATGGCTGACCTGGGTTCGATTCCAAGCATCCCATATGATCCCCTGAGCACCGCCAGGAGTAATTCCTGAGTGCTGAGCCAGGAGTAACCCCTGTACATTGCCAGGTGTGACCCAAAAACAAAAAGAAAAAAAAAAAGAATTTTCAGGAGCACAAAGGCAATGCCCCTAACACTAAGCTCTTCAAAGGTCAACCGTATCTCACTAGTGAATCTTACTCTCTACTACACAACATCTTTAGTCTTTAATACACTGGTAACTGGGCTATATCAACACAATTTTAAATTCTTCTTCACATATTAGTCTCTTCTGTTATTTTTTAATAACTGAACAATTCTTTTTCTTATCAATAGCAGACATTGTTTTTAAGGTTTTTTCTGGCCTAGACATGATGTGGGCAGGCAGGCAGATAGGGAAGGCTCCTCTCAAGGCAATGGCAGTCAATTTTCTGGGAAGTTGCAAAGGTCAATCTTGCAGAAAATAGGAACTAAGGTCTGATAAGACCCTCACCTATCACCAGCAACCGACCTGGAGAAGTTCCAGCAGAAACAAAAGGTCAGGAAAGAAATTTCAAAGAAAACCATTACCACTCCCAACCCCCTTGGTAACCTCCTTAGCAATGGACTTTTACCTAGATAGATGCCGCACTTGGGAGCAGGTTGGAAAAAACCTATAAAAGTCACCTTGAACAAAGGAAGGGGGTGCTTATGCTGCCCGAGCCCCTGTACTGCTTGTGCCCACGTGGCCCATGGTGCCTGAGCACGTGTTACCTGCTTCTCCCCTCCTGAGATGTGTACTTTCACACTTTCCAGTCTAATGCTGGGAAGTGCATGGGACTCTCTCTGCCCTTGAAGAAACCTGGTTTTCTCTTGAGCACGTTATTCTCCACTCTCTCCCACTTTCTCCCTTCCCTTCAAAACCTCCAAATAAAATCGTTTTTACTTCACTGCTTGTCTACTCCTGAAATTCTATTCTGCGAGGCGAGACAAGAATGCAGTAACCCTGAGTTCCCAGGTGGCAGAGGCAGATGGGGAGAAAGTGACCGTCTTTCTCAGCTCCCCCAAGCATCTGTACTCTGTATCCTAGGTACAGAGCCAGGATAAGCCCTGAGGACCATCAGGTGTGGCCCCCAAACAAAGAAAAAAATTAATTCCTATCACTGGATCTATCTCATTGAACCCATTCCCTCATGAAGTCATTGCTCTTTTGGCCCTAGGCATCCTGTTGCTTGCTTTATTGTCCCTTCACCTGGATGAATTTAGTTCTGAGAAAGGAAGAATGTTTCATCAGTCTTGAGCTATGGCGAAAGTTACTTGCATTATCTACAACGTTGTTTCTGGAACGTACCCTGCAGTGCTCAGGAATGTTTTCTGGCTGACAGTGCTCAAGGGACCATCAAATCAGTCACAAGCAAAGCAATGCCTTACCTTCCATCTCTCCAGCCCACTTCCTAAGAAACGCGTTAGGTATTTAAACTTCAATTTCTTCCATGTCTATTTCTCCCTCATACTTCACTGATCTCTGCATTCGTTCTGGAAAGTGTCCTAACTCACACCTGCACATTTACTCTTTATCTGCATCCACTCTTACTTAGCTTATTCACTAATTTCATCCTTCACTCGTTGACAGAACGGACTTCTATCGGCATTTCTATACCGGTCTCTTAGCACGTTGGTTGGGGTGGGGGTCGGGGTGCTGTTTCTGGTTTTATTAATTCCCAGATCCTTTTGGAATTACACACCCTCAACTTTAAGGATGAATTTAGTTTTTTAGTTTTTCCCTAAAATTTCTAGGATGACTGTCTATTCATTCATCTGGGTCATTTGGGGGCTGTTTCAGAGAGGATGCTTCTTGCTGAATGCCGATACACACTGCTACCTGAGGCAGGCCAGTGGCCAGTTGTCTGTGAGGCTTGACATTCTCATGAGGATCTGTAGTGAGGTTCTGTGGGTTCTGACTAGATCCCTGGGCACACATACTCAGCGTTTTGGACTGAGGACAACTACTGTTGTTGCCTGATGCCCAGCTCCCATGAACGAGACAGAAAAATCCAAAGTGTCAAGTGTATATACTCCCCAAGGGAACCTCTCCTATTCTGGGGCTGTCCAAAAGCCTTACTATTTCTGTAAATCTATGTTTTCTTCTGTGCTTCTGTATTTGACTGCATTTCCAAAGCTCAGAAATTATTCATCACTATTTGTCAATCAATACTTTCGGTTCCACAGTACCATTATATTTTGTGTGTGTTTGTGCGTGTATGTGGAGGTAGGGTAAGAAAGAAAGGAAGGTCAGGAATTTTCTGGGTCTAGCCATCTTTAGCCTTCTCTGGGTCTAGTCGCCATCTCCCTTTATAGCTAGCACTGATCTAAATTCCCATCAGTGGTCAGCCTGTGTCTTGCAGCTTAATTCTGAAACTTTAGACGCAGCTTATATGTATATAAGGAGAGGTTCCAAGTTACTTGTGGCCTCCCAATGTACCATAAAGGAAAAGACAAGTGCCACCTAGTTCAGAGTTGTACTCAGTGAACACATCCTGGGTGACCTTAAAACTCATCAAGAATCGGACAGTGCAGAGAGGCCTGCAAGATAAAAGGCACAGAGCTCACTACTTAGGCTTAAAATGCTGAACTCATGACAGAACGTATTTATTTATTTTCATCCTTTTGTTGGGGGGGGCGTGTCACACCCAGCAATGCTCAAGAGTTACTCCGGTTCTGCACTCAGGAATTACTCCTGACGGTGCGTGAGGACCACATGGGATGCTGGGGATCGAGCCTGGGTCAGCCGCGTGCAAGGCAAGCACTCTACCCACTGGACTATCGCTCCGGCCCCTCATGACAGAATTTAATTATTTCAATAGACAAGACAAAAAATCTGCCATACATTTTGATTTTTTTGGTTTTAGGGCAGTGTTCAGAGCTCACCCTGGATCACCCAAAGTAGTGGTTTAGGGCTCAAGCGTGTGTGTGAAGGGAGGGACTTTAACCCCAGTACTTTCTCCAGCATCCTTTAAAATAAGCCTAATGGAAAGCACAGTAGGGGAGAAAAGGTTCAAATATTTTAAAAAATATTTTAATAATTTATCAGTGTCAAATAATAAACTCCCGAATTTCCATCAGTGTGTGTATGTACACACGGAGCACATCACGGCCAGTGGTGTGTGAGCACATTTCAGAGCTGACCTTAGCACCAGGTCAGCTCCTGTCATCTGTATGTCATTTTGAGGACTATGTAGGTAAACAACTCAGCACTACTGAGCAAAAATGTATTTAAGAAAATTTTATCTGACACTCTGGGCACTGACGGAGCAGGGTCTGCTCTTCAGATGTTTACTGCAAGACCCCTGGATAGATTCTCAATTAGTACTATCTGTAGGTGAAGAGGGTGCTCTCAGGGGAGTTATCATGAACATTTTTATTTCTTTGAAAAATTTGAGCTGGGAAATTAGAGGTTGAAATGGTTAGGTCTATTTCCCCAGGAGGGATCTCAAATAGGTGGTAGTATGTCAGAATCTTACCTTTTTAATAAAAGATGATAAATTCCGGGGAGAGGGGGTAAAAAGGGGCTCCCAAGAAGTGCTCAGTGGGTCTGGGGAAACTCTTGCTGATTCCTGGCCAACCAGCCAGCAATTTGATGCAAGGGTCCGAGGACATGGTGCCAGGGATTACCTGGGCCCCCCAGGTGACTGAGAGGCCACACAGTGGGAGAAGAGTCCACTGCGTACGAGCAGGCAGCCACACCCTGGCGGTGTCTCTCTGGCCAGGGAGGGATCACTGATTTTTAAGAAGCTGAAAAGTCATGTTTTAAAGAATGGTTCTAAGGCCTAAATCCTCCGTCAAACTCTGGTCAAAACAACACCCAAAACAGTATTAGGAAAGCTACAGCTGCCATCTTGGGTCATCAACTAGTAAGTGGAATTCAGCTGTTCTTGACTAGATGCACTAGGATTCCAGCACTGATCTCTTTCTGACAGTGGCCTGAAACTCAAGGGAAAAAAATTATTATGAATTTAGCTTTTATTCAAAATTAAATAAGCAAAAGCAAAAATTTTAAGAAACTTTTACAAATTACTTACATAAAAGAAAGTTAATAAGGACAGTCACAAGTTTGCAACAAATAATTACAAAAGTATCTAGGGCAGCATGAATATAAACCATGTCACAGCATGGTGATCTAATTGTGATATGAATAAGGCATAACTAACATTTGCACCAAGACCAGAATTTAAAAATAAAACATACTTTAAAAGCTTCGTTCTATATTAAGCTTCTTCTCTTCCCCCAGATCCTTAATGGGCGTATACTATGTAATTGTTTTAAACAATACATCGTGTTAAACTATACATTAGAGATGGGCAGTTAATGTGAAAAGCCCCCCTAAATGTACAAACTAACTGGTACTGAATTGAGTTTTCCATTTACCTTTATGTACAATTGAATGTAAACCATATTTTCACAGTTTTAAGTGTTTTATGAATAGATGCACAGTACCATGTCAGGTTTGCAATTGTTCCTGAAAACTGGCTCTAGGTTCTGCATCCAACGCCTGTTGGCCACTGGGATGCAAGTATTTACATAAATAAGAAACTGTGTCATAGTCAATGGTCAAGACAGTTCAGCAAGAGCAGTATTCCCAACGAAGAGTGATACTCAATACCATAGTTTACATACTTGTGCAAATATAAGCTTAGGATAGATAAATCTGAGGCAAATTGAATTTGCAAAAACTTGAACACTACCGTTGTAAACTTGGGCAATAAATAACCCTCGGGCAAGTTCTGCTCTCTATGGCTTTTTTTTTCTTTTAAAATGTTAAAGCCAGAGAAAATGCACACATACTACTCTCTCTCGTTCTCTCTCTCACTCTCTCTCTCTCTCTCACACACACACGCACACACACACACACACACACACATTCAGACATACATACAGAGTTGTCATTTCATTTTAGAATATGGTACATAGTGCAACTTCATCACAATGTAGAGGTTTAACACACATTCAGTGCGTGTTTTTCTGTGCAAGTTCTTAGTGGTCTAAATCCTAGTTGAAGGTATTCATTTGCAGAACCACATGATTCAGGAGGTTGAAGGAAGAAAAAAAAAAACCAGTTCTGTTACATTTCTCAAACCAGCACTGGATGTGCAAAGGCAGCAGACAATCTGGCCATTAACACAGCCAGATTAGGGAAACTTCAGAGGAAGATCCAAGCTGTTGGTTACTTAGATTGGTCTCTAGAAAAATAGGTCAGTATATGCTGTATCTTTGTCAACCGTTCTTTCAAAGACTTCATTGACAAAACTGACAGCTGATACCGGGGATCTACAGGAAGAACTGCCAGGAGCCACCAACACCATGCAGGTCCATTAGGGGTTGCCTTAAAAAACAACAACAACAAAAGAAACAAGATAAAACAAATATTTAGGTAACAACTGTAACCAGGCAAGAACAAGTTCATCTTTGGTGAGTACTTTCATGTGTGAGGTCCTATCTCAAATTCTTTCAACAACCATACAAAGGTTTCGCTTTATTCTGCCTTTGGAAAATAGGAAAACTGAAGCTCAGGAACATAACATGCCCATTCATTGTCCAAGATCCCCCAGCTCACAGGTGGCAGAGTCAAGGTTCAAACCCAGACCTGGCCCCTCTGGAGTCAACAGTCTTTGCTCTGCCTCACACTGCCACAACACGAATTTCTCAACCTCTTCCTATTGACTCTTGGGGCTCCACTGCCTATCTGGGGGACTGTCCTGTGAAGTGTCATGTGAAGCAGCATCTGTGACCTCTCTGAACTAGACTGCCAGCAGCCAGCAGCATCATACCCATATGTGACAGTCAAAACTGCTTTTCGGCATGGCCAACACCCCAAGAGGGTAAAATTATCCCTAGTTGAGAAAGTGTTTTCTTAAAATATCCACTTAAAATATTACAAAGTAAATTTTTCTTTGAAGAGTTGTGGAATCCCAGGAAAGGTATAAGAAAATGGTCTACGCATCCAGATTATCTCCAACCAAGTAGTTCCTCTGATGTTACCAGAACTGGAGAGTGAAGGTTGTATATAAAAAAAAAAATTTATTTTTACTACACGTTTAATTGCTTTTTATTAAAACATGAAACATGAAGTCACAGAATGCTAAAAGGAGCTATCACGTCAATACTGAAACTTCAATAAGCTTCTTTTAAAATCAGACTAGATTTCTTATCTATTCTGTATCCCTAACTCAGCATTGCCAGCACCTCCTCTGTGTATCATAGCATCAGAAATTACATTTCCCAGGATTCTGGGGGGTGGGGGAGGACCCACAGGATTCTGAGTCAGACCTGGCCAATACAGAGACACCATACAAAGCTGAGTTGGAAGACAGATGCCCTGGTTCTCCAGGGAGTACTGTGAAGTATGGACAGATGTAAATTTCATAAAGGTTTTCCAGAGACTTCTTGAAAACCTTTTGCTCTACTGCTGACTGAGATACCGGTGGGACTTCCCAAGATTTCTAAGATTAACAGCAGTTTCTTTGTTGTGTCAGAGGCTGTGACAGCAGAGCCCCAACCTTACTGGTGGTGTCTCTCTTGATGTCTTCAGCTTGCCCATGGGTTGTGCCAACTCTAAGTTGGTATCACATCCTTCATTCCCATACACTGAGTAGCTTTTTTTCCTGACCAATATAAAGTTACTGAGAGAAAGCAGGGGGAGAAGACTGGGTGATAAAGGAAAGGGTGGTAAAGGCAATGGGGAAGGAAGGTCAAGGTTTTTCTCTAAATTGATTTGTTTAAGATTTACTTACTCAATTTTGTATTATACCAAAATCTATATCAAGTTTAAAACAGTTCAGGTAGCCACAGTAAATACAACATGTGGGACGTGATACAATGCTAGATACAAAGTGAGGACTTAATTTGGAGATGGTCTGGTGAAAGATTCCTGGAATTCAGAGACTTAGGTCAATCTTTGGAGAGCAGAGTGAGAGGCAGCACAGTGTCCTTACAGTCACATTTATTACTGCTCAATGTCCTTATTCTTATTTACAGCTCTCCCTTTAGGAAATCTATGATGTAACTGACCACAAGCAACATTTTATTCAACGTAAAATAATGCTGGCTGCTCGAAGCTGGAGGTGGAGGAGTCTAAAATCAGGTTTTCTGAGAACGGGCTGTGTCTTTTGTGCTTCACGTAGCAGGTTACTGCCCGCATCTGCTTTCACAGAAAGTACCTCTGATTACATTGACCTTAAATGCAAATGCTAAGTACCTGAGCAAAACCATAATAATAATTTCATGAGGCGCAAAACGGTCGAGTAAAATGGTCAGGGATAAAAGAAAAAAATATGTTTTTGGAACATACAGAATATACTGCATTTCTCCGTGACCAAATAATCACAGCAACAGCTGATCACAGGCATGGCTGTCGCACAGACACAATTTGTTGAACAGAAACACATTCTGATTTTAATTGCATGTCTCCCTGTAGAAAAATCTCAGTTAAAGACTCTCTCTTTATCTGGCATTCACTCCTATTGGATCTCTGCTGCCCACTACTTCCACCCCCTGCTTCTATAATATGTAGTGGATACCACTGCTCTAGATAATAGAATTCTAAAGATGAAAGCTTAAAAACAAACAAACAAACAAACAATAAAAAAAAAAAACTGGGCAAAAAAGGATGCCAAAAAAGAAAACAGTCTACTAATCTGAATTCGTACAAAATGGAGAATTAAACAGTATCAAAGACATCATACCTGGAGATTTTCTTCCCTCCCGGGCATTGATCCAAAATGCTGAAGAATTTGGCTTCGAAATCTGTCCCGTAAATTCTGAAACCAGCTGCAGGCTTGAGAGTATACCATATCATGAAGCTCTCTGAGGTTCTTTACTTCATCTTCAGTCTCAACCTAGAAATACAATATTCAGTAAGACTTCTACCTCTCCTGGTGGTCTAACATACCACCGACTCTATCAAAATGGGAAGAAAAAAAATCACCATAAAATAGGCACTAAACTCTCTCAGTTATTAAAGAGGGAGCATGATTTTTATGCCACATATTATCATCTCCTTCTTCTTCACATAGTGCAAATGAGCTAAATTCAAGGTTACAAGGCCTGACCTCTACCTAGGCTTGCCGAGTTATCAATGTGACATTGCAGATCACTAGTATCAGTATTCCAATTGGGAGGGCTATGATTGAGAGTCCTCAAACTCGACATGAATGGAAAACCCCATTAAGTCTATGAGACCAATGATATTTGACAACAGGGAGCAAAAAAGCAGAATAATACAGTTGTAATGTAAGACTGAAGTGGTTTAAAATGAAAAGGACATAGAAAATTGTAACAGGAAGGAGAATAAACATAATTGCATCTTTAACAGGGAACTTGTTGATCAAAAAACAAAAAACAAAATGCAACAACAACAAAAACAGTAAAAAAAAAAAAAGACTATTAAAAAAGTTAGGAAATAAGTTATGCAGTGAGGATCTGCTGTGAAAGGCCAAAGCCAACTGCTGTCTCCAACCAGCCTTCAGACTACTAATTCACTGAACTGCAAAGGTCAAAGTAAATGCATCAACCTTCCAAACCAAGAGCAGGAGCTGTTTCAGAAACAGGTGGGAAGACTGAAAGCTAACTCATCCATCAACACTGATTTCTTTAACATGCCTTACGTCCCTCTTGCTCCCTAGCTGGGAGAACTCTATTCCATACGTATTAAACTTACTCAAGGTTATACCGAACACCCTTCAAGGCTAACTATAAAAACAATGTAGGGACTCTGAAAACACTCTAAAAAATATTTTTAAAGCTAAAAAAAGTTTCAAAATGCATTTGGGTTATTTTTTGCACAATATGAATACACTTACTGCCACTGAACTATACATTTAAGATTTACATGCTGCATATCGTTTACCACAATCATGACAATTTTTTAAAAGGACAGACAGACATATGATAGAAAAATTCAGGTCTGAGAATGACTCTACAAGACTCAGGCCCCAGCTAACACACACTGGACTTAATCTGAGCAGCACATAGTTCTGTCTTGTTAAAGTTAACAAATACTGCTGTGCCTCCATACAAAATTCAAGAAACCGTATCATAAACATTAGTACACAACGAGTGATAATCTCGTTTAAGTTGAAAAATGAAGCTGGCAAAGCACCAGGAAGAAATTCTCAAAGCAAGCTTCTTTAAAGAAACTTCATTGTATAACAAATTTAAAATGTTCACTATAAGTCATAAAAAATACTATGCTAAAAGAAGTCTTATACTTAAAAAAAAGAGGAAGTTTCTATAAATGGAGTAGTTATACAGATAAAGTCATTCAAGTCAGAAAAATTATCAGACATTTGTAAGACCACCAAGACAAAGAAGACAGTTTTCCAAACAAAATTCATAATGCTTTCAATATGCTGTTCTATTGCCTTGCTTATATGTATATAGTAATATTTAGCTATATTCGAAAAATTGTCACAAATCTGATATATGAATTTGGAACATAAAACTGAAATAGGCTTAGTTTATATCAACTGAAAATGTCAACCCCTCTGACACATCTGGCACAATACAGAAAGAAAGGTATTTCCACAGAATCTTTCCACAGTGAAACAAGACAGGCATTAGTCAGGGTAATCAAGCATGATTAGCATGGACTCAAAAAGCAGGATGATAAAGGATAGAACATGGAATCAGAAAGTTGATGCAATTATTTTTATCATGCTTCCTATAGGACAGACACTTGGACAAAGTTAATGAACACATCTGCATCTCAATTCCCACACCTGTGATTTCCTGAAGCTGTGAAAACTCAAAAGTTATGATTTTCAGAAATACCTAATGCCAAGAAGGTGACTGAAATGAAAGTTCAAATTAGATCAATAAAGAAGTGATAGTATAAAATCTGTTTAACTGTGTACTTCCAGAAGAAATAAGCTTTAATTTGATATTTACGGCACTTTTCTCCTGGGACAATAAAATGACTGCAGGCAATAAATTAGGTACAGGACACTTTAAAAGGACCATTTTAACACTGTCTACAGTTTTTATAATCCTCAGCCAGGTTATCACCAGCAAGTATACTCAATAGTGCTTTACACAGGTGGCATCTTAGACTTTGAACATAGCACTCAACTATCGATTTTATCCTCTTTGGCAGGCCTTTCTATAGAGTATAATTTTAAAGGATTTTATGTGCTTTCCTTGAATCAAATTTAACCAACTAGTCATATCATTTTTAAAAGGGCTGGTATTAGGAGCAGGCTTTGTAACTCTAACGGGATGGAAAGTCAATTGATTCAAGTGCTACTGCTTCGTTCCTACAAGATGCACACGTATCCATCCATCCTGGCCAGGGGCCAGTTCATTTCAATCTGTAGAATTAAGAGCAAGGTCTGTTCTCCTAAGCGCTCTTGGAACTCATAGTTATAAAGAACTAGACTTTTAAAAAGTAACTTGGAATTTATTACTGAATCTATCAATGAGGCTCTCTAATAGGAAGAAATCGATTTATGTATCTGAAAAATAATATCCAGTGTGCCTGTACAATGCCTGGGACAAATGACTCCAATGTGTGCTGAAAGAGAATGTCTTAATACCTTAATATCTTCCAGATATTCAATGTCCGCAGTGCAATATCCATCTTTCATTCCTCTTCGTAAAACCCGAAATCGCTTTCCTCCAACTGTGTCAACCACAGACCTTCCATCAGGTAAGAAATGTACATTTCTAATTTGTAACATACAACCGTAATCTGCAAAACTAAAGGAAAGACTCTGATTAGTATCACAGTTGCAGCAAGAATGCAAGCTAACCCACAATCAAAGTGAATTCCAATATTAAAATATTTATGCACACAAAATCCTACCTATTTTGTGTATCACTGACACACATCCCGAACTGCTTAGTTCCAGTTTGTATACTTCTTCGAATCATCAGTCTATATCTTGGCTCAAATACATGAAGAGGACAAGGCACAGTGGGGTAGGCCATAGTGCAAACAAATATTGGAACATTCTTGGTCAAGCTGAAGAAGAAAAAGGTTTTACTATTATATAATGAAAGGTACAGCAAAACTGAGGTATGTTTGCAACATTAAATTAACATGAAACAAAAAGGAATTAGCTCTAAGGTGATTTTTATTCGTGGGAAAAAAAACAATTAACACCCTCTTCATTAATGCCCTTCATTAGTATTAATGTATTATTAATACTAAAACTGTATCAGTGATCTTATTTTTGCGTAAATGTGAATTTTAGAAACCAGATTATCACAGAGAGCCAAATATACCAATCAAAAGGCAAGGATTACTGCGAGTGTTTCCTATTAAAAATCTATTTAAAGTACTTATGAGTTAATATATTTAATTAATAATTATTCTTAGGTAATATTAAAATCGTCTCCCACAACATACAAAAGGCAAATTACCAAAATTCTTGGCACTACACATTTTCAAATACACTACAGAAAAAAAAAACACCTTTACATCACTTTCTCAGATAAATGATACATTCCTATTAAAATGATCCCACAATTTTTTTATTTCCAGAGAGGCAGGAAATAAAGACAAAAGGAATGCCCATTTTGGACAAGGGGAAGGAGAAAAGCTGGCAATGTGAGGCTGGGGGTAGTGGTGGTGGGGAGTGGGGAGCTGGAAATAGCATAGCCAAACGAAGAATTGGACTGTGTGCATCCAAAAGCTTCTCAAATGTTCATATTTGAAGCAGCAGGCTCACTTTTAGAAATCACAGCTAGAGTTTTAAGAATGTGAACTGTAGTGGCCAAAACTTAGAAGCAAAAAGAGGGTATTGATGAAATGAATCATTACATGAGATATTATTATGTTTCCATTAAAAGACGATGAATGCATAGTGACTTAGGAAAAATTCATAGTTACAAGAAAAAAGAGATTATAGAACAAAAGAATGATCCCATCTTTGTTTAAAATATATGTATGCATTTTAAAACTTAGAAGGATACACATCCATGGAGCCATAGCACAGCGGGCAGGGCATTTGCCTTGTACACGGCCGACCCAGGTTCGATTCCTCCGTCCCTCTCGGAGAGCCTGGCTAGCTCCCTGTGGCGTGTCCAATATACTAAAAACAGTAACAAGTCTCACAATGGAGACATTACTGGTGCCTGCTCGAGCAAATCGATGAACAACAGGAGAACAGTGCTACGATGCTACACATCCAAATTCAACAGTGATCTCCTTTGTGTTATCAACTTCTTTCCACCCTATTCCATTTGTATTTTCTAGTTTTTCTTCAAGAAAACCACAAACTACTTATATAAAATATTGAATAAGGAAAGTGTTTAGAGGTTTAAATATCACTCCTTTTAAAAGTGTGACTACATTATGGGCTAGAGTCCGTAATTGAGCACTTATAAAGTAAACAAAAAACCAACAGTGCTATTTGTTTTATCAGTTTTGGTTTTGGGGTGGCCCTACCTGGCTCTGCTCAGGGATTACTTCCTCTGTGCTCAAGAATAAATCAGTAAGAACCAATTTGTGATTATCTTATGATTTTGGCCTATGTAAATAAAATGTAAAACTAAAATCATTTGATACACTATAATAAAATGCTTATTCTCATTTATGCATATAAGTTTTCAACTCAGGAATCTAAAGTGGAGCGATAGCACAGCGGGTAGGGCGTTCGCCTTACAAGCGGCCAACATGGCCGACCCGAGTTCGATTCCTCCGCCCCTCTCGGAGAGCCCGGCAAGCTACCGAGAGTATTCGATATGCCAGACACAGTAACAAGAAAGTCTCCAATGGAGATGTTACTGGGCCCGCTCGAGCAAATTATATTACATTTTATTTTGTACGTGGATTTCATTATGGTAATAATCATGTACAGGGAATTTTTTTAAAAGGTGGTAAGTAACAATAAATAAAGTAACAATAAATTATGTTCACAAAAAAAAAAGAATCACTCCTGGCTGTGCTTGGGGGGTCCACATGGGATGCCATGCTGAGTGCACTGCAAATGCCCGACCTGCTGGACTATACTCTGGCCCCCCAACATTGTATTAATTAGCAAAATAGCCACAGGAAAAGCCGACCGTTCTGCCAAAAATGAACCTGCAGCAGTCCGCTGGAACTCAGCACAACTCGGTTCCCCTCACACTGCTATTCTATCTGCATGCATCTGCCTCTCGTGTGTGTGTTTGTGTGCGTCTGTGTGTGCTGGGGGAGGGAAACAGGGACACGGGACAAGAACCTTCTCATGCCATTAAAATTTGAAAAGTGTATCTGTGGCTTACATTCGGTGTTTCTCAGTACTAATCAGATTCATAATACTCACATCAGAATATTTTCTATCCAAAAAGTGACACAACAGTCAAGCCTTTGGATCAAAGAGCAATTTCTGTAATAAGAGTATCGGATAATTTTTTTCTCTAGAAGGCCACTGGCCAAATGAAAACATGAACACGTATGGGGAAAAAAAAATGTCTGCAAGCACGGTTCATGGTTCATTTTTTTCTTAGGAAATGATCAACAGAAAATATTCCATTTAAATTTTGAAAAATAATAGAAACTATAAAAATTACAATTTTGTTGTGTAATGTATTCAGGTAAAAGTGAAAGAACAGAAATTAAGAAGTCAAAAATCTACCAAAAAAAAAAAAAGACTTGAGCGGTGAAAAGGGAGACAAGAGGGAAAAGAAAGGAATAGGAAAACCACACAAAAACAAAGACATCCAGAAACAACAAAACCGAGTCCAAGCTCCTCTGTAGCCCCAGCCCCACTACGTGCTCTTCCTAGAGGACTGCGTAGCTGAAGTCGACAGTCCCTCCAGCTTTCCCAAGTTCCTGACACTAAATCAATGCGACGATCAGTCCACTCTCATTAGTTGAGAATCCGGCCCTTCAAGTCATCCAGTTTGGTCTCAGGCTTCAGGTCTCAACCCCCGCAGCCCCGTTTCCCGCTCAGGTCCTCAACTCTGCTCCCGTCCGAATACCTGAGGCTGCGGCTCCAGCACGCAGGTACCAGTTTCATTCTCCAGCTCCACGTTGTCCTGCCTGACGTCACTGCAGGAATCCCTCTACCACCCTGAATTCTGCTTCACTACAAAGAGCTGATTGATAACTCCCAATACAACACCTGAAATGACTAAACTGATTTTTTCCTAGGTGATGGTGTGGGGTATCAAACCGGTGTCTCACACTCGCTAGGCATGTGTTCTACCACTGGGTCACATCCCCCGCCCAAGTGAACTTTCAAAACTTCCTGTGTTGAAGACGAAAGAAAGCTGACCAACATTTACTGAAATTAAGGCTCTGGCTAGACTAAGAGGAACCACAAGTAGGATCCAGCCTGCTGTGAGGTTTTTTTCCCCCTTTCTATTTTAAGGGATGGTAGTTCATAATTTGATTATGTTCATTTTTATGAGAAGAAACTTACTGTGAGAGTTCAGCAGTTTCTTCATCATATATTTTTTTTCTCTCAGACAGCTCATCAGGCAGATACTTCACTATTAATTCTTCCAACAGCTGTGTGACACAGTACCTCCTATCTGCTAGATACTAAAAGACAATATTATTTTACATTCCAGTAGTTTTTCTTCCTACAGCATAAAACAGGTAAAACAGTTTAACTGATATATGAAAGCCTTTATTACATATTTATACAATCCATTCTGAATCAACTGAATTAATGAAGGGGAGCATTACAATGGATGATGCTAGACAGGTCAACCTATCTGAGGCTTTGCTCAAGAGCAAAAAAACCCATGGCTGGAACTTGAATTGGCACCAGAGAGAAGCCCCGGGTCCTGCTAGTATCACAAACCCTTTATAGTCAGAGTCAGTCTTGCCCTGTTCTCGTCCATGCTACAAAGGTCAGTTTCTATCTGACAGCTCACAGGTGCCCGAAACCGGCCTTTTAGCTAAGAAACAGACTTAAGGTAAGCAACAAATAAACCAATGTATTTGCCTTATTTAAGAAAGGTTTAAATTCAATATGACAGACACAGTAACAACAAAGTCTCCAATGGAGACGTTACTGGGCCCGCTCGAGCAAATCGATGATCAACGGGAGGGCCTTTGGTACATCAACTGGGGTTGGAGCGATAATACGGTGGGTGGGACACTTGCCCTGCATGCAGGTCAGCGCCCCACCCACTGTACCATCAGTTTCTGCTCCTGCCCTGGCTTAGATCCCCAGAAACCCCAGTATCCCATATGGTCCCCGGAGCCCTACCTGGGGTGATCCCTGAGGGCAATGCCTGGATTAAATCCTAAACACCACTGGGTGTGACCCCAAAACAAAACAAAACAAAATAATAAGAAGAAAAAGGGAAAAAGTTTGTCTATTCTTCTGGTTTCCGATTTCAGTGACAGAGGCTCCAAGTAATAGTCCCTCCCTCTGGCCTTGGAGCCCTCTGAGCCTTTGCAGTGGCTGCCGCTTACCCTATAGGAACGATCCACTACCTGATTCGACATAAAAAGATACACATGTCCCTCTCTCAATACCCTTGTGCCACTGTGCCATTTTCTATTCCAACTGCATCCCTCATTCCCTCTCTCTCAATGCCTCCTTCAATGTCTACTGCCAATTTCATCTTTCTCATAAGGCCTCCCTTAATTATACCTCCGTCTCCCAAGAACCCCATACTTGACTGCCTTTACCATATGCGAGGCATTTACCACAGCCTGTCCTGTGACATAGACAGGCATGGAGTATCTCTCTGCTACTAAACAGAACGGAGCACATGGCCAGGGGCTAGGTCAGAGTGTCCACAGAACTTTGGACAAAAAGAAAAAAAAGTTCCACTATGTATTTACTTAATAAAAAGTAATGAGGAAAAACTCTTGGGAGACAATCACAAATAAAATTAAAAGGAGCCATCCTTTAAATTGAAATCTAGTAACAAGGGTTTTATCATTATGCAATAAAAATAAATAAGAGTAACAAATGTCAGGGGCTGAGAAATTGATTCTAGCAGCGCTCTTCACTTTCGACATGTCTCAGAACATGGAAAATGCAGACTGCTGAGTCCTACCCCAGAATTCTGATTTAGTGGATCTGGAGTAGGGTATGAGAATTCATTTATCTAACAAGCTCCCAGCAATCCAGAGGTTGCTGGTTGGGGAACACACTGAGAATCATTGGGCTTGAGACTAGATAAGAGGCAGACAATACATATACATATTAATGTACAGTTTATTCTAAAACTAATCAAATTACATTAGATATTTTAAAAATAATTTTATTACCATTTTCTATATAGTAAGATGTTTTAAAAGTTAATATTCATATGTTAAATTTGGAAAAATATAACCTTTCACTATCAACAGAAATCTAACTTATACTCTGTTTCTGGGGGAAATAAGAAGTATAGCAATTGGTTTTCATAGTTTTGTAAATACATGGCCTTTGATCCAGTAGTTCACCTCCCAGGAATTTATCCTAGTAGTCACGGATGCAAAGTATGGTATATTTAAAAAAAAGAGAGAGAGAGAACAAAACAACTTACATACCCAACAATAGGAAAATGTTTAAATTATTGGACTATTATGCTGCTATGAAAAAAATCATAGCTTTATGAGATATTAAAATGAAAAATGAACAAAATAAAATGACAAGTGTGAAACTTTGTTATCAATTTTTTAATATAAACTTAGAATTTACCAAGTATATCTTACAGGGTATCTTCAGAGTCAGAACCCAGGAGAGTTCTTTTTAAATAATATATTTTAAAATAATGTATCTCCCCCTCTTCAACCTTCAGGCATTTTCAAGATGAGCATCTTCAAATTTAGAGCAATGTATCTAATTATTAATCTGAACGTTATAAAAATTCCTGTATCTAAAAACCCTGGATTCACAGGAAAGAGAACTTCAAATAAAAACACTAAGTAATGAGTTGAAAATGTAACAAACACTTTAAGATGAGAGTATCATTTACCTCCTAGGTCTGAATATTTGTAGAGAGATTTGAGTGTAATTTATTAACTGTACATAAGACCCATGTTAAATGTTCACCATTCGTATATACTATTACGTTATCTGTAGAGTTGCGTTTTCTACATAGAAGATAACCCTGTATAGATCATTAGTAAAACATTTTGTAATTTTTCATTCATATCTGGGAAAAACCTTTATCTTTAAGATGTCCAGTGAGCCACCAGAGACAGAATCACTTTCCCAGACTGAAATGCTCCACGCGGTTGGGACCGGGACGGAGGCTCTGGCGTCCTCCTGTGGCTCTCCGTCAGCAGGAGTCATGCAGAGGGCTGGGGGTGGCATGCACCTAAGATGCATTATCACCCTCTCAGGTAATGAGTGCTGGGAAGGGCCACGGGACGAAGTGTCCCTCCCAATCTCCCCTTTCCATTCCTCCACTCTCTATTGCTTTGCTGACTGATGAAAGCTACTAGTCATGGTAACCTACTGGAACTTAAACTAACACTAATAAAAATGAAGATTACAGTATTTCAGTCACGCTGGCCACATTTCAGGTGCTTAACAGCAACACGTGATGAGAGGTCGCCATGTCAAGAGACAGCGTAGACGCAGAGTATTTCCGATGCAGAAAGTCTAGCTGGAATGTCGCTCTAGATGTAAAAGGGATGGGAATAGGCCTGAAATCTGGCCTGTTACTGAGGGTGGGAGAAAAGGCAGTTAAGGTTTCCCAAAAATATTAAAACTGAAACTCTTTCTCTCCACAACATATCTCTTGGTTAAAATTGTTAAATACAGGGCACTTAATCTCCAGTTCTCACTTGGGAAGCATTTTTCTCCAACACTGACATATGGCTAATGAATTATTACACTTAGGTCACTCAGCACATAAAAGGCAATCCACACTGAATAGGATGATCACTTATTTCTACAAATAAAGAGAAATCAAGCCATGCTGTCACACATAAGAGCAATAAACAGAACAGGACACAAAGGTTTACCTCTTTCAGGCTTTCTTTGCAGAGGGGACAATATGGTGTATGGTCTAAGCAACGTTCAAGACAGTTCTTACAGAATGAATGTCCACAAGGGGTTGTTACTGGCTCAAAGAACAACCTGAAACCAATCAAAGTACATGTTAGCCTCCACACTGAAAAAACTCCACTGGAAAAAGCTAAACAAATCACTGAGCTCTAAGAATCATCTCTATTACAGGAGAGAGGAGATGGATGCATGAGAAGACGGAAAGGACTGTGACGGACACGATCCTACGCTCCTGAACATCTGAAAGTCCTTCAGCAACAGAAGGACCCTCGCGCCTAGAACTGCACTGATACTATCATCACTTACCACTTAAGAACTCCGAATAGCCCAAAATAAGATGTGCACAAAATTTAAGCTACGCACCAATTTCAAATACTTGATGCAAAAAGAAGCGTAAAATTTATCACTAATAGCTACCAGCATATCAATTCCTATTTTATCCTCTTTTTAAAATTAGCTTTCTTGCTAAGTGCATAAGAGCCTTACTCTACTATATTCATTTAAAAATCATGACGAGGGACTGGAGAGATGTACAGCATATTAAGGCACTTTCCTTCCACAGCACAGCGGGAGAGCACTTGCCTTGCGCACAGCCAACCCGACCGCCCTGGGTTAATTCCTCCGCCCTCTCGGAGAGCCCAGCAAGCTACCGAGAGTATCTAGTCTGCACGGCAAAGCCTGGCAAGCTACCTGTGATGTATTCGATATGCCAAACACAGTAACAACAAGTCTCACAATGGAGACGTTACTGGGCCCACGCCAGCAAATCAATGAACAACAGGAGGGACAGTACAGTGCAGTTTCCTTCCACAGGGCTGACCTGGGTTTGACCTCTGTTTCCTCATATGGTCCCCAGAGCTCACGAGGAGTGATTCCTGATGCAGAGTCAGATGTAATCCCTGAGCACAACTGGGTATGTCCCCTCATCACACCCCCCCCCCCCCGGGCAAAAAAAGCATGAAAAAATAGTAAGACTTAATAGAGAGATAGAACAGCGAGTAGGGGACTTGCCTTGCCTGTGGCTGACCCAGGTTTGATCCCCAGCACCAGGTATGGTCCCTCAAACTAACAGGAGTGACCTCCGAGCACAGAGCCAAGAAAAAGCCCTGGGCACTGCCAGGTGTGGCCAAAATACCAAAAAAAAAAAATCCAGTAAAACTTATAGCTGGATTCTAAAAAAACATTAGTGTTAATCTAATATGTAATATGCAAACAGTATAGAAAAAATTAATTTTTGACTGGCATTCTCTTTCCTGAAACATGATTCTTCTGAATTTCCTAGAGTTACCATGGGAAGTACAGGTACTTTAAAAATGATCTGTTCTAACTGGATCCTTCCAGAGATGAAACAGCCTAGGCTCCGTGGAAAGGAACTCACTAGGGAAAATGGCAAGTACTGGCCAGCCAAGTGTGGCCAGCTCTTACTTACACTTTCCTTTGACTCACTACAACTTATGGAAATGAAAAATGTTCCTTCAAACCTTCTAGAATTTTAAGCAGATAATTCCTTAATGAAATCCTTAGCTAATGAGTAAATAGAATCTCATAGTTACGATACATAAAAAAGAGAAGTCGCACACATACAATACACAATTAGAATCCTTTATGGGAATACCAATATTAGTTGGACCAATTGAGGCAGTCACGATACATAAAAAACAAACCATGAAGAAATGCACATTTAAATCTAAAATAATGTGTATGTTTCAATAACATTACACAGAAACTTTACGGTCTTTTACAACTCCCCAGACACTTTTTATATTTAAATCACTGATTCTTAAAACAACTGATATAAACTATGAAAATACTGACCCTACTTTCTAAAAAAGAAACTTTTTGTAACTTTGTCCAATTTATAAAAAGTAACCCAAGGAGTAAAATTTCTTTAACTTTTTACTCCTGTATTGTTAGTGTACATAGCTTATTAATGCTTTTACCTAATCTACAGCTTAGAGTTTATTCCTTTTATGAAAGTATGTACACTTACCTCATGCAGAGAGAACACTCAAAATCTGAGACATCTATTAATTCTTCAGGAATATCACCATCAGATAGTGAAAATGTACAGGGTTCCTTGGGAGTTTCTATTAAAACAAAAAAAAAACAAGGTTTTCTCCTCTAGAAATAAAAAAAAAAATGAAGACCATTCTAAATATGTAAATATAATTTAAATGGTAAGAGCAAAATTGTTACCTCCTTGCTTTTTAAGCTTATTTCTTCCATCTTCATTCATAATCATATCCTGTTCAACAAGAGACAGCTTTCTCTTGAGCAGGGCACCTTTTTCTTGAACAGAGAGCAAAGGTTCTGAGGACACTCTTTTTAGACAATCCTCTTTGGCAGGCATTTCTGTTGAATTTATAGCCTGTGCTGACAGAGCACGGTTTAAGCTTCCTTTGACAGGCTCTGATGTGACCTCTAGTATTTCTTCATTCTACAAAAGTACAATAAACAAAAATGTACTTAACAAGTCTTCATTGCGTGACAAGAATAAACCAAAATGAGTTTTCAATGTCTCACAATATTTATTGTTCATTTAACATCACCAAATTCTAATATTAAAACTCTGGCAAGTTAAATTTTGGACAGCATTTATATAACCCAGCCTATAAAGCTGGTTTATGTTATAATGAGGTTTAAGCAATTAGCCCAATATAGTTGCTCCTACTCAAAGAAAACTAAAATAAATAAACTGTTCTACATTTTCTAAGAGACTGAAAATTTTCTGACACTCAGGCATCTTAAAATTTTAATGAACAAATATTTTCCATAAACTGTTTTAGCATAAAAACAAAAAGCAACAGACAAAATCCTACGAAGAGAAGACCTGACAGGTTAAAAGCACCTCAGCGATTCTAAGTCCTTGAAACAAGGAAAGTGAAGAACCTTCACCTCCAAGGAAACAGATACGCTAAACTATACCCACCTTTACCTGCTCTGGGTTAAGTTCACTCGGAGAGTTCGACTCTTCCATTACTGAAGGAAAGCCACAAGGTTTGTTTTTAATACACGATAATGAACTCCAGGAAGAGTCCTTCAGGCCTTCTTTGACGTTTTCAGGTGATAGTAAATCACATAAAATCTGTAAGAAATAAGAAGAAATTATGAGACACTATCTTGGAGCTGGAGACATAGTACAGCAGCAAATAGGGCACTCACCTTGCATGTGACCAAGCTGGGCTGAATCCCAAGAATGATCCCTGAGCACAGAGCCAGGAGTAAGCCCTGAGGACTGTCAGGTGTGGTTCCAAAACAACAGCAACCCCAAAAAGAATAATTATCTACATTTAACATTTAAAAGTTTTTAGAAAATGGGCAGCAGACACTGTTTATAAGGAGTAGGAAAGGAACTAAGTGACATGATGAGCAGAACTGCCAAGTGGATTAAAGAGCTTTGCAAAACCAAGGTGAGGCTAAATTCTCCTCAGAAAAATTATTCAAAAGGCAGCCCCGACAATAATTAAACTGGTGGACTGGGAATGTACCCTGGTAGAGGGTGACTTTTTAACAAAAAGATCATATAAAGAGGAGATGGTAAGAGAAAGAAAATTTGAACCTACGATAATTTACCTATCTTCACCTCAATGAATATTTTAAGGCTGAACTTAGTGCTCATGTGAATTCTAAGTACAAGTCTCTAAAATTCCATATAATGACACTGCATTTTGCTTCCCACTAACCAACTAATCCCCAGTCGCTGCTGCCCAGCACTGGGCTGGGAGCACCAACCAGAAGCTCCCCACACAGTTGGGAGTTAAAACTTGCAGGCGTCTGTAGTTTGCAAATTTTTGGATGCTTCTATCAAGAATATGTAGAAAACAGTGCTGCGGACATCTTGACTGGGGTGCATGTACCAGGGTGTACAGTTTCTCCAAACTCAATATCCGTGTATTATATTAGATTTTTAAAAAAACGATACCACAATTTACCAAAGGCAAGGACTGTCTTGCACACGGCTGACCTGGGCTCAATCCCCAGCACCCCAAGCACAACCAGGAGTCATTCCTGGGTCCGGAGATAGAAGTTATCCTTGAGTATCGCTGGGTGCAGCTCAAAACCAAAAACAACAGCAGCAAAAGAATATATAGAAAACTCTCAAACCAAGGAAGTTAAGATACACGAAGTATAAACGGAAATGAGAGGAAATCAAATTGGAGGAGGATGTCAAATAAACTTTATTAATATGTACATTTTAATGAGTATTTCTTCAAGTCTAAATTTAGAGATTTGGTTTTTCAACCATACTATCTCTCATATACACAAAAAACTAGAATTATTCATGAATCATCAACATGAAAATAAAAAGGCAAGTAAGCATCCCTGCTGGAATTCAAGCAATACCCCATTTAGTGAACAAACGTTTAAAAACATGTGCTTGTCTTCATATTATCTGATTTTAAAAAAATTCTACTTGACACACACCCACAGAATCCAAACAGACATAAAACATGTCTATAAAATGAATTCTACAAGAATGTTCAATCACTGCAAATTAAAATCACTATCAACTACAAAGCGTGGTATGTTCATCTGCTGGAAAATTTAGTTATCAGTGAAAAATAAAAATTACTTATTTTAGAGAGCTGCATCTCAAAAATAGTATGTTTAAGCAGGAAAAGAAAACTGATACAAAAGAACACATTTTACATGATCCCTTATCTCTAATTTTCTAGACTAGGCAAGACGACTCTGTGATAGAAATTCGGACAGCAACTGCCCGTGGATGCAGACAGAGGCGTCCCATGAGGATCAGAAGGAAACTCCTCCTGGTTATTGGAAATACTCTAAATCCTGACTGGGGTGCAGGCACCATGATGTGCAACTTCTCAAAATTCTAAAAATCTATGTATTATATTAGATTTAAAAAAGAAAATAATACCACAATTTACCAAAGGCAAGTATCGCAAATCACCAGTTGTTTTGCATTTACCTCACCTTGTGAACCAAAACATTATTTTCAGAAAAATTAAGGCTATCCAGCAGCAAGGAAAATGCAAAAATGTGACTTTCAAACATGTGCAATAGCACAAGGGAAACAACATGAAGAGAGAAGACTCATGAAAAACAACAGCAACTTCTTTTGGTTAAATTAGTGGCTAGGATATACACGCAAACACATCTCTCAGGAGGATGTGCCAATATTAGCTGGATTCTAAGACATCAGAGGGACAAGGACACTGCTGAGGGGCTGGAGTGATAGCACAGAGGGTAGGGCGTTTGCCTTGCACGCAACCGACCTGGGTTCGATTCCCAGTGTCCCATATGGTCCCCTGAGCACTGCCAGGAGTGATTCCTGAGTGCAAAGCCGGAGTAGAAAGCAAAAAAAAAAAAAAAGAAAAAAGAAAAAAAATGCAAGAACACTGACAAATGGTCAGGAGTTTGATGCAGAGACCCAAGTTCAATCGCTACACCACATGACCCCTTGCTACCCTTAGCACAATCGGGTGCAGCCCAAGAGGTCTCCAAGCACTGTAAAATGTGTGCCTACGTCCCTCAGTACCACTGGCCTGACAACACCCCATGGCCAATCCAAGAATGGGGCCATCAGTCCATTTGGCTGCGTATGATCAGGAATGGGCACCAGAGGTCCCTGAGCACTATCCGGGGGCTTGGGAGCATGTATGCATATACATCACACAAGGATGAAAAAAGAAAAAATTAGGGATATGAGAAAAAATTCAACATTCTCATATATCAGGGTGCCTAAGATTCTGCTGGGGTGCCTGTTAAACAATGCCCCAATTCCAGAGATTCTGATTCCAAAGGCCTGTGCTAAGCCTAGGATCATACTATGCACCAAAGGTGATTCTGAGCAAAAAAATTTTTTAAAAAGTTTAAGAAATACCAAAATAAGGTAGTAACATAGGTGTTTTGAGGTTACTGAAGACAGTATAGTGCCTGGGTATTACAATTATATCAGGGTATATCTTTGTGTGTGTGCGTGTGTGTGTGTGTGTACATTGGCAATCATAGATAGCAAGCAAAGTTTAGACTTTAAATGAAAGGAGAAGAAAGTCAATAAAAATTCCTAAGCAGGAACATCATGACACCATGTTTAATTAAGAATGATTAGTCTGTCTTGGATCAAACAAACTATTAGGGAACATCTAAATTTAACTTAGCACAAATAACACTTAAATCTGTGAATGATTTGTTCTGATTTTCAGTAAGAAGTCCATACACTAAATACATGAACTTGAAAATCACTTGTCAAATCACTAGTAAATTTGACCAACGTACTCCATATATTCTTATTTCAACTTTCTAATGAGCATATTTTTAAAAAGACGTGTATCTCAGACTTACCTTAAGCTATTTATAATAAACGACTTTTTTCTTTTTTTATTAAAGGGAAAATAAATTTACTAGAAAAACAAGATACCCATGAGAATTAAAAGTGGTTCTTGACCCAGAAGTAAAGACCGACCTTTTCTACCTCTAGCTTTGCAGGTGCAAAATCTTCATCAAGGGCTAAGCACTGAAGAAAGAGTTGTAAGGCATCACCTAAGAAGCCAGCCTCGTGGAGTACTTTTCCTTTCCTGAAGTAGACCTTTAAGCAAAAAAGTACATGCATGCAACTATTATTGATACAATTGTTCTTAAAATAATCAATACCAGAAAAATAAATGGTCAATTCAGAAATGCTCGTTATGATTCCCTGGGGAGTCTGAACTCTCATGTTTTAAAGGCATACCCCCAAAGAAGCACGTAAGGGGTTCCTGAGGTCTAGAAGATCACTTTAAAACCACATTTCAAATTGCATCATGTCACTAAGTCCAGAGGTTTTTTTCCCTTTTTAACAGTTTTAACGTTGTGTATTTACAATACTGTCAATACTGTTGGGCTTTACAATACTGTCAATTTTACGTTTCATATGTACATCATTCCAACACTACATCTATCACCAGGGAGCCCACTTCCCTACACAAGCGTCCCAAGGACCCGCCTCCCCCCCACCCCCTCTTACTCTTAAGACAGATTTTGCCTTGTAGTGTTCAAGGATGTAACTCAGCATTATAGGACCTGCTTATATGCTTGAGACCCTGGGTTCAATCATGGCACCAGACACACACACACACACACACACACACACACACACACACACACACGGGAATACAATAAAACTGGTTTAGTTCTAACCAGTAATGTCATCATGAAATCTATATCACTTTCTTTATTAATATTTTTAAGCCCATTTTTATTTCTACTGTGACTGTGTAGGCCAACTCATCACTATTCCAAGGCTACTGGCAGGGTGCTTGGGGGAAGAAATGCAGTACTTAGGGTAGAACCCAGGGTCTTGCTCAACAATGACACGTACTTAACCACTTGAACCACATCCCAGGCCATCTTATTTAATGTTAAAAGTCTTACTATGCTGCTTTCAACAGAAGAAAAAGTTACATAAAAAATAGATCCTGGGGGGCTGGAGCGATAGCACAGCGGGTAGGGCATTTGCTTTGCACGCGGCTGAGCTGGGTTTGATTCCCAGCATCCCGTATGGTCTCCTGAGCACCGCCAGGAGTGATTCCTGAGTGTAAAGCCAGGAGTAATCCCTAAGCATCCCCAGGTGTGACCCAAAAAGCAAAAAAAAAAAAAAAATAGATTCTGGTTTAAAGACATGTATGGAGACAGACTGATTTGCTCTATCAATTTGAAAAAAGAAAAAGGGAGAATTCGGAAATGTAGGATTTATTATATATGGATCTCTAGTCTTTTTAAGCAACTATGAATAAAGCAGGGCTGGAGCGATAGCACAGTGGGTAGGGTGTTTGCCTTGCACTCAGCTGACCCGGCTGACCCGGGTTCGATTCCTCTGCCGCTCTCGGAGAGCCCGGCAAGCTACCGAGAGTATCTCCCCTGCACGGCAAAGCCTAGCAAGCTTCCCGTGACGTATTCGATATGCCAAATACAGTAACAACAACTCTCACAATGGAGATGCTACTGGGTCTGGTGAGCAAATGGATGAACAATGGGAGGACAGTGCTACAGTGCTATGAATAAGGCAACCCCCGATGCCACTATCTCATCTGCATCTTGCTGCAACATCTCATCCCCTTCCCAACCTCTAGGACCTCCTGGCTCTCCTTTAATAAACCTCTCCCATTTATGGCCAGTCCGGGTTCATCTTCACAACACGGCCAAGCATGTCTCTTGAAGGAAACTTTGTATAATACTCCTTCTGTCCCTTAAGTTCAGGTTCTTATTAAGTCCTAAGAAGTAAAGTTATAATTTAAAAACTTGTCACAAGGGGTTCAATTGGTTAAAACACTGAACTTAAGATTTCTACAGCTCAATATATTTTGAACTGAAAAGCAATCTATTCTGTTAAGAACCTTAACCATAACTGAACATACAATGTTCCCTACAGTTTAAACATTAAAATTTACGCAAATGTAGGACAATAAATTCACCTCAGGCCAATTTGGCAGTTGAAAGAGAACTGCATTCAAATCCTCAACAGCTGCTTTAAACTCTTGGAGACCAGCATATGATTCCGCTCTGTAAATTTTCAGAGTCAGGTCGCTGGGCTCTGAAAGAAATATTTGACACAAATTTCAGTATTTTTTAGAAGGGCACTGCATATAATCCACAAACTACATCCTACTGACTTTACACTGACTCAATAATCCCTCAAGTAAAAGCTGAAAACCAAACACTGCACGCACAACACGATTACACATTTTATCTTCTCTACATCATTACAAGAGACACTTATAAAAAATAGTTTCTAGGTCCAAGAACAGGGTCCCAGTGGTAGGGCACAAGAGTAGCATGTGAGAGCCCAGAGTTCAATCCCTTACAACACACGACCCCAACACTGCTGGACACAGCCCTAATGGCTCAGGAACTGGATATGGGTACTGAGACTGAATTTGGTCCCTAGATTGAGAAAACAACAACAACAATAAGTTTACAACAACAATATAATGAAGCTATTTTCGTAATACAAACAATCTCCCCTGAAAAATAAGGTTTGGGAGCTGGGGAGATTATACTGGGGAGTCTATCCCTAGCACCACATGGCCTCCCTCCATCCCCCGATGGAGCCCTGAAGGCCGAGCACTACTGGAGTGACCCTGCCTGGTGGTCCCTAGCACCTCAGGGCCCAAGCTGCACCCTACTCTTGGGACTTAGTTTTTGGCCATCTGGCATGGTTAGCCAAACATCACGGAAGTGGCCCTCAGAAGCTCTTGCACCACTTGGGAAGCCTCCAAAGTTAAAAAAAAAAAACATTTTTAAAAATATTTTCTCAAAATACGGCATTTTACAAAGTTAATGATACCAGTCTTAGCAACTGTCTTTATATTACAAATCTTAACTTTTATTCTCTAATTTCCAAATCTTCACAAACAACTGTATGCACACAGAATTCCCAGGGTAAAAAGAAGACTAATTGAGGCCCTAATTGGTATGGTCCTGATTCTGGAGAAAATGGGTTAGTAAGAGTCAGCATTTATAAGAGGTCAAAAATTAATGTCTGCCATTAGCAAGAATGCTATTGGATCGCTCCAAAACAGATTTACATTCAAATATTTCTGAAAGGAAAAACCCATGTTCGTAACCTCACTATCTACTACATCTTTACATAAGAAACCAAATCACAATCCAATGGCATTAAGAACTGCCTACACGTGGCTAGGTCACCTACATGCAATTACTACAGGTATACAGAGTCTAAGAACTAGACTAAGCAACAAACTAATTTTCAGTACTTTTATAAGATTGACTCTTGTGTTCTTTGAAGCTGTAAAATTGCATGCTTATAGAATATTCATTATGAGGAGAGCATCAAGACATGTAAAGCCTTCTTTAAATACATATAAATACATAAAACCTTTGAGTAATACCCCAGTTTAGTCTGTTTTTAAATTATTTCTTTCCCGTAGGTGATTCAACAATTAGGAAGGCCTGTTGGCCTGTTGTCATCTGCTGATAATTGAGAATTGGATTTACTCTGCTTCTTAAAATTTATACCAATGAAAATTAATAAAGAATAAAATTAGTATTTCATAGAAATGTTTACTCTCTAAATAAAAAGACAAAGAATATTGTTCTCTTTTGTCTTCTATTCTAAAGCAACTGGAAATCATATTTGAACAAACACACAGGAGAAACTGAAAGTTCTATAAAATTAAAAAGCCTTTGGGATTGGAGCGACAGTCCAGAGGACACCAGGTCCTTGCACAGGGCCAACCTGGGTTTAATTCCCAGCACCCCATATGGTCAGTCCCCCCAGAGCACTGCCAGAAATAATTCTTGAGTGCAGAGTCAAAATAACCCCTGAGCACCGCTGGGTGTGGCCACCCTAGCCCTCACCCCCAACACACACACAAAGAAACCCTGCCTTAAAAAATCCTCACAAGGGCTGGAGCAATAGCACAGCGAGTAGGGCATTTGCCTTGCACGCGGCCGACCGAAGTTCGATTCCCAGCACCCCATATGGTCCCCTGAGCACCGCCAGGAGTAATTCCTGAGTGCAGAACCAGGAGTAACCCCTGTGCATTGCCGGGTGTGACCCAAAAAGCAAAAAATAAAAAATCCTCACAAGAACTGGGTACTGAAAGGAAGTAAAATGGTATGTATGATGCCCTATTGTAACAGTACTGTAAAACCACCGTGTCTAATAGGAAAAAAGAAAAAGTGCCTGCCATATTCCCATCTTCCCTGAGCCTGCCAGGAGCGATCCGTGAGCAGAGCCAGGAGTACGCTCTGACAATCGCTGGGTGTGGCCCCCAAACAAACAAAAAACTCAAAAAGTCTTTGAAAAAAAAATTAAAAGTCCTAGTACAAAGGTAGATGGTAGAGCTCACAGGTGTTCAACCATGACTACCCCTACCTTTGAGGAACTTACAATCTAATGAGAAATGCCTATTGTGCTGTGAAATAGCAACATGTAAGCACACGTGGAAATGAGAAAATGGAGAGCAGCATTGTAGGACCGTCCAAGAGTAGTTAGTTACGGGCATCAAATCCAAACCCTTACGCTGTAGGGGCACGAGATGTCCATTAAGGCGCAAACCTCTACACAAAACCTGCCTCAGTTCCACCCCCTGAGCAACGCCCAGTGCAGACCATGCCCTAGGGCCCTGGCATGGGAACACTGAACTGCCCCAGGGAAATCCGCTCCCACCCCAAATGGGAGAAAACCCTCAAGGTAGAAAAGTGTGTAGCTCTAGACGTGACAGGCACCTCTCCACCCACGGCTGGGGTTCTTCCAGGAGCATCCCTGACAGCCAGTCTCCCTCTCCTCCAGCCCATTCTCCTCCTGCCCCCGCCCCCCACACTGGGCTTTCTGGTTGTTTCTGGTTTTGTCTCTCACAAGTTCCCCCCAGTGTCACACCTGTCACAGCACCCATTCAGAACCAGTGAGTACAGCAGCTGTGGATTAGTGTCATTTTTATGGTACACTGAAGGGAGTGTGAAGATTCAGCCCATCTATACCAAATGTCTCCACCACCACCAAGTGAAAAAGGACACTATCCTCTCTCCTCCTCAATGCAGAAACAATCAAGTCATTGAGACTCCCCCAAAAGAGGGTGGAGGAGGAGCCTTAGAAGTTAATGAAGGGGCCCGAGTGAGTACAGCAGGCAAGGCACTTGCCATGCACACAGCTGACCTGGGTTCAATCCCCAGCCCTGCCTGGAGTGAGCCGAGAGCATCACCAGCCATGTCCCCAAAGCAAAACCAAAAAAGTTAGTGTCTACAGGAACAGGGGAAATATACCCTGAATAGTGGTGATAAGATGGTCATATTTTAAGCCTCTGCTCCCCAATTCCCTAAAATTCATTGAGAATTTCAGACATCGATGGGATATTAGGAGGGGAAAAACACAAGTCACCTGACTTTTTTACTCCAGACGTTTAATGCTTAAAAGGAACTGCATGGACCCAGGGATAATGCTTGGGCATCATACACACCTGCTCTCCCACTTGCGCCCGACACAGTGCAGCTGGCCAGAGCTCCCGTGGTCACAGCACCATCGGAAAGCACCAAACCCTCAGGCTCTCACAGCCACATGGAGCAGTGCTCCCCAGCAACCAAGCACTTCTGGACTGTGGCTTTTATTTTTCACTTTTTTGCCTTTTGGGTCGCACCTGGCTCTGCACTCAGAAATTACTCTAGGCAGTGCTCAGGGGACCATATGGGATGCTGGGAATCGAACCAGGGTCAGCCCCATGCAAGGCAACCAACCACCCCACCTACTGTGCTATTGCTCCAGCCCCTGTGGCTTTTATTTTTAAAAAGGGGGGAGAGGTCAAAATGAATCAAATGGGGCCCTTCTGAGTCATCGGAAGCATTTGCAAAAGACATCTGTGAAAAAGAGCAATCAGCCTAGGCTGTCATTGTCTTGGGTCTGAAGGAGCAACAGTATCTATTCTAGGCTTAGTGTCCCCTGAGGGGTGGACGAGTCCCACCCTTCCATCAGTCAGGTAAGCCAATGTGCCTAGCCAATGCCTGACACAGACTCCATGTACTGAAGAGGAGTTAAAAGATGTGATCTGGGTCTATGGTACTAGACCCGATTTAACTCCCAGACTTTAATCACTGATACTGTTGATTCTGTTTGAGGGCTATATCCAGCTGTGCTCAGGATCACTTCTGGTGGGCTTGGGGGACCATATGGGTGCCAGAGATTGAACCCCGGTTGGATGTGTGGCTGATAAGTACCTTACCTGCTGTATTACAGCTCAGGCTCCATCCTGATTTTTTTTAGTCTAAATTCAGTTTCATCAAACTTCTAAACTGTTCAATGCCCAGAAAAAGTATTATCTCAGTGACCCCCAAGCAAGCTTTCAACTTTATCAGTTCTGTTTCTCAAGTCTGCCCACGCTTGTCCAACTCCTAGACATCGCACACACCCCAAGCCTCTGTAATGCTACTGAAGTAAGCTTTGCTAACTCATCTTTCCTGCCTTCAGCTTTCCCCTGCCTGTGGTCTTCCCACCTACAAACAAAACACCGTTTCTTCCATGCTGGCTCCTGCCCATCCCTCCAGTCTACCTCCTATTCCTGATCAGTCTCCCCCCTGAAGACCCAACTAATAGCTAGCGAGTAGGATCCCGCCTCCCCTAGACCAGTTCCCACTGCCTACCTCCTGCTCCCACCATCATCACACGACCTACCTCTACCTACCCCTACCTACACACTACCTACCTCTCTCATCTGGGTCAAGTTTTCTTACCTCAGCTCCCCACTCCCAAGATCTTCCCCTCCACTCCCCATCCCCAGGAGTCATACCCCTGAGTTCAATTCATGGCCTGAAGTTGATTTACCTTCCATTTGTGGCTGGAAGTCATACTCCCGGGGTTCAGTTTTTGGGTCCTCTACTTCCTGTGACCTGAGGCCAATTATTCAACACCTCTGTACCTCAGTCACTCAGCTCTAATGTCAAGGATTTTATTGTTTTAAAAATCACTAAGTACTGTCAGGTGACCTTTGGAATAGCCCTCCGTGGGTCTAACACCATCCACACTTTTATCGACAAGGAAACCGAGCAGAGTTTAAAGTAACTTTGCCAAGATCAAACTAG